CTAAAGATTTGGGTCCCTTGATCAGCATAGTTACAAAAAACTGATTTGACTGAACTTATGACACAGCAGAGCTTGCTTAATTGTCATTTGGAAGGAGTCTGCATGAATCAGACAGGTCACAGAAATTTTATTGCAGTTTACCACAGCTCATTTAAAATGCCCATGCTGTGAGGAGAAGAAAGACATGAAAGTACCAATCTTACCACTCTCCCTTATTACATGTTTATTAAATTTGATTGCATTAGATGAAGGCACAGCAAATCACACTGACAAGTTTCTTAGAAATCCCTTTGCACAGAAGTCATGGATATGTACAATATTCATTTTAATAGGATTCATTAAAAGTAGCTAAAACGTACATACTCGCACATATATACATACAGTTTAGAATAACCCTTTCTCCCTGTTTGCCTGTGACAATCCTGGTCTTTGCACTAAAAATTCTGTATCTCAGTAAATGCCCTATTTCTAGACAATTTGAGGTAGGCCATTACCATAAAACACACACATGCACACACTTAGTGCTGTCTGATCTCACTTTGCATATATAACTGCAGAGTACTCTACACTTTTGGCCAAGGCAGAAAATCAGAAATACACAATGAAAACATGACAAAACGTATTAAATAACAGTTTCCAAGAGATTGAATATCAGACAACAAAGGACACTGATTTTTGAGATACAGGAAACACGTCAGTTAAACCCAATGATTACCCAAGCTTATTGCCTTGAGAGAGTTTCGGGCTCTTGAAAAGCAAGGATAAATGTAAGCAGAGAATCCTTCAAAAATCAGCTTTCCTGCCTGGCTGGCATAGCTCAGTGGATTGAGCGTGGGCTGCGAACCAAAGCATCGCAGGTTCAATTCCCAGCCAGGGCACAAGCCTGCGTTGCAGGCCATGCAGACCATGACCCCCAGCAACCGCACATTGATGTTTCTCTCCTCTCTCTCTCTCTCTCTCTCTCTCTCTCTCTCTCTCTCTCTCTCTCTCTCTCTCTCTCTCTCTCTCTCTCTCTCTCACACTTCCCTCTTTAAAAATAAATAAATTTAAAAAATCAGCTTTCCTGAGTTTGAGGTTTCTCAACTGTACAAAATCACTCTGTGCCTAGTGTCCCATGGAGCTAACTTCCACATTCTTTCTATCTAGGGCTTTGATGGCATAAGCAACTGAAGCCCTTCCTGCCTCCTGTGCCATGAATGACAGAGTCCTTCTTATCTGACTCAGGGTCTTCTTGTGCCAACGTGTAGAAGACTGTGGCTAACTAGTAGGGTAAGATCCCAAGCCTTTCATATTTTTAGGCATAAAAAACAGTGAACAAATAAAAGTTTAGAAAGGACAGAGCATCAGATTTCATAGAAAAAATACTAATAGCACAATTTGTAAAAGAACAAATTAATAAATTGGGATTCATCAAAATGAAAAACTATTGCTGTTTAAAAACACTGTTAAGAGAGAACAGAGGCAAGCTTTGTACCAGGAGAAATGCATTTGCAAATTTTATATCTGATAAATTCTTGAATCCAGAATATATAAAGAATTGTTAAAGCTCAAGAATAGGAAAATAATCAACCCAATTAAAAATAGTAAAATATTGGAACAGATATTTCACCAGTGGAGACATACAGAGGATAAATATTTACATGAAAATATTCTGAACATCATTAGAAAAATACACATTAAACCTCAATGAGGTATAACATACCTGTCGGAACAGGAAAATTAAAAAAGACTGACTATACGAAGTATTGGCAAGGATATAAAGGAACTGGAACTCTCATATTCTGCTGGTGAAAATGTAAAAGGATACAACCACTTTGTAAAACATGCATCTAACATGTGATGCACTCATTTTACTCTGAGCTGTTTGCACTAGAGAAAAGATAGCATATATACTCATAAAAACTTGTACATGATATTCATAGCAGCTTTATTTGTAATATCCAGATTGGATAGAGTACATATGCCATTAACAGGTGAAGGAATAAACAAATTGTGGCCTGCTTGTATAATGGATAAATAAAATGGGATGAACTCTTTATTGATACAGTAATTTAAAGGATCAAACAATTTTTATATGCTGTAACATGAATGAATATCAAAATAATTGTGATCATTGAAAAAAGCAGATCAAAAATATAAAAATCAAATACTGTAGGACTATTAATTATGTTACATTAGTAAAACCTGTGACAGAGTGCAAGTAAGGGTCTAGGAATCTGAACAGGAAATCAATGAATGCTTTATCACCTTCAAAACAGGACTCATACAGCCAGATAACTCTCCCTACCAACATCAGAGAGATTAAATAACCTTCAAGAAATGGCCACAATATTTTGAAAATTTAGAATTTCCAGGATAATAGTTAATTACTCAGGAAATCCACTTTAAAAATATACCATTAGAAAAGATGAACCTATGGGTATAGCACTCACAGTCAGTGTTTTAAAGTTTCTCTGAAACTGTGTAGTCATAGTTTGTGATACATTCATGGAAAAATATCAGAAAAGGAAAAGAGAACTCAAAAAATTAAACATAATAAAATCATCTTAGAAAAAATAGAAAAAGAAAGCTCAAAACAGATTTATGTTTAGAAACTTCTGATTGGTATACTGAAAAAAATGTGAGATATTCCATCCATAAATAAGATTAGGATCCTTTAGTTAAGAAAACAAGATAAATGTCTTGAAACCTACACAGAAACGCAAATAAAGCTCACTGACACAAAAAACACAGACATAGTGTAAATGAGAACAAATATTTGATGTTTGGAGCAAGAACATATGATATCCAACTTTCAAGTGAGAAAGATCACAGACTAAAGAGAAATGATCTCATTAAATGAACAGTGAAGATTTTCTTAGCGCTTAACAATATGTCTCCAAATTCAAAGACTACACTTCTGGAAACAAGAATGATAAATGTAAAAACAAAACAAAAAGACTTAACATAGTCCTATGTCACCCTGAAATTTTACTACAAAGATAAATAGTAGATTGCTAAATCTGAAGGTCTAAGTCCCTACTTTAATTGATCTTTCATAAGTGTTTGGTCCCTGGTTCATTCCTTCTGTATATTTTTAAACTAGATTTTTAATTTTAGCTTTTTAAAAACAGCTATGTTGAAGTACAATTATCCATTTCATTTTCAGTATTCGCTTTTTAAAATCCAATGCCTTTAAAATGTTTACAGAGTGATGAAACCATCAACATTGTCTAAATTTAAAACATTGCCATCAAACAAAAAATGAACCTGTCCTAAATATTTCGCCTAAGATAAATTACACAACAGATATACTTTTGTGTCTGACTTTTTTTTACTTCACCTAGTGTTCAGAGGTTCACCCATGCTGTAGTAGGTATCATTACTTTGTTCTTTTTTATTTTAAAATAACATTCTGTTGTATGGGTATACAATATTTTGTTTGCCTATTCATTTTTTAAAACAATTGGGTTTTGTCCCCTCTTTGGCTTTTATAAATAATGCTTCCTTGACTATTTATGTACAGGTACTTGTATATGTTTGTTTTCATTTCTCTGGGAAAGATAACATAGAATTGAGAATGCTAGGTAATATGGTAATTTTATTTTTAACACTTTGAGGAACTTCCAAACTATTTTACAAAGTGTATAATTTTACATTCCCACAAGAGGAAAAAAGAAAAGAAATATACTATTAAACCATCTTTTATAATTACCAACATAATTACCTCTTCCTATATTCTTTTTTATTCAACACATTTTAATTACTGTTACAGGTCACTTCCTTTCAACCTGAAGAATTTCCTTTGCTACTTTTTGTAAAATAAGTCTGCATGTAAAAATTCTCAGGTTTTGTACAAATAGTAATGGATTTACTCTTCATTTCTGAAGAAGAGTTTTTCTGCATAGAGGATTCTTGGATGGCAGGTTGTTTTTTTTTTTTCTTTTCTTTGCTCCATTCTAGACTCTATTCTAGGTTTCTAGGATCCATTTTTTTTCTGATAAGAAGTTATAGGAAGTAGTTATTAATTTTATTGTGGTTCTTTTCTGACTGTTTAGTTGTTTATTTCTTGCTTCTTCTAAGGTAATATCTTTTTTTTTTTTTGCTTTCAACAATTTAATTATGATGTATCTCCGTATGGATATTTTTTTCTAAATCCTGCTTGAAGTTTTTTGTGCTTCTTGGGTATATAGATTAATATATGGGGGAAATTTTGGGAAGTATTCAGCTATTATTTTCTAAAATATTATTTCTTCCCAATTCTTTCTTTTTTCCTTTTTGGTTCTAACATGATGCAATTAACGGTGTCTATGTTTCTTTTAGTCTGTGTTCACTTGTATTTACTCTCTTTTTCAGACTATATGAACTTTATTGATCTATCTTCAAGGTCATTGATTATTTCCTTTGCCAGCATACATCACCTGTAACGTCCTAGGTAAAATTTTAATTCCATTTGTTATATTTTTCAAATCCAGAATTTCCATTTGTGTTTTTAAAAAATAAATCCTATCTCTTTATTAACATTGTCTACTTGATGATACTTCCCTTTAAATTACTTAAAAATGTATCATTCGATTCCATGACCATGCACAAAATTTTTATCTGAATAAATCTAAGTCAAAAACCTGGGCTCCTCAAAGGCATGTTTTGATTGCCTGTTCCTTTCCTGTGTACAGGCCACCTTTTCCTCCTTTGTACGTCACATAATATTTTGCTTAAAACTTAACATTTTATTTGCCATATTGTAGCAACTCTGACTCTTATTCCTTACTCCTCAGATCCTGTTATTGCTTTTCTTTTTTTCATTTGTTTACTCAGTGAACTTTCTGGAGTGATTCTGTGAAAGTTCTCTCTCCCATGGTGTACAGCCTCCGATGCTCAATTTATTTTCCTTATTTTAATTTTTAAACAGAGTTGCCTAATGTTCACTCATAGGTCAGCATAGATTAATGATCAACCACTAATCTTCAAGAGGTGTAGCTAAGAACCCTGATCCAGAGAGTTTTTCACCCTTTTCGACTGGATTGATGTGAAACTTGGGGACTGATTTCAAAGCTCAGGAAGTTTGCAAGTGTGTTCCACATTCATCCAGGACCTGGATGTACTTTCTTCATGAGGTCCTGACATGATGCACTAAATTTTAGAAGACACAATATGTAAGTTGAATATTCTAAATTGGTTTTCTTATAGACACCTGTGCCTAAACACAGCTTAGAAAATATTCCCATAGTCATGGCATTTCTAGAACTCATTTTGTGCACTAATAATGTTGAAGATATAGAAAATTTATTCTCTCACAGAATTCTATAAAGTGAAATTATCATATATATTGTATATATACAGTTGTGTCTTGAGGGTTCCGTATATTCCAAATATAACATTTTTGTCATATTGTTGTTTGAAAACATTTTCTGTCAGAATATAAGTTTTTTACTTTTAATAGAATTTTTCACAGAGCAAAAGTTTTTAATTTTGATGAAGTCCAATGTGTTTTTTTCACTTTATAGATTACACTTTTTATGCATTCTAAGTGTGCTTTGCCTAACCCTAGATCCCAAAGATATGTACTAATCCTGTGATCAAATTTAAGTTAATATTTGTGTATCTTATGTAATAGATTGTTTAGAATTGATGTTAATTTTCATTTCAAAGTTGGTAGAATTTGTCAGTAAAACAATCTGATATTTTCAGCTATGTTTGGAGAGTTTTAAATTTATGAATTAATTTTTTAGGTATAAGGCTATTCAATTCTCTGTTTTATATTATGTGAGTTGTAATATTTTTGAAAAATTCATCCATTAGATTTAAGTTTTCAAATTAATGTATGTATAGCTGTTCATAGTATTTATCTTATCTTTCTGAGGTCAGTTGGGTCCGTAGTGATATCCACTATATAATGTTTAGTGTTTGTGTTTTGTGTCTTCTCTTTTATTTTCTTTGTCAGTATAGCTAGGGTTTTGCCAACTTTACTGATCTTTTCCATGTGTTCAAAATCAATATAACTTTGTTTAAAATAAGCTTTCATATATAGAGAGAGATACACACATAAATTAGTACACAATCTTTTAGAATATCATCTATATAGTTACATTAGAGGAATGAAAGATAAGTTTGAAGCTTGAATATAGACATGCCTATATTCAGCAAGATTCTATTCCTTTACAATTTGGATAAATCTGAACTATCTAGACTGAAATTTTATTTTTGTTATTAACATGAAAATAAATGTTCTTGTCTTTAAGGTTTCATTCTCAGTGAAACTGTCACTGATCATTCGATTTAAAATTGTTACATTTACATGTCCCCTCCTCCCTACTTTTTTCATTATACTATTTACCTATCCTATTTGATCTATTTTAACTTTGTTGTTATCTGTCCCTCCTGACTAGAGTGTTACCTCCATGAAATAGGACTATGAAAATTAACTGAATAAACACCTAACAACAACATTTGACAACATCTTGCAGATAGTTTCACATGAACGTTTTCTAATGCAAGTTAAGATAAAAACACATGTATTTGTTTTTTTCTGGTTTGATTTTATACTGTGCATCTGTTTTGCCATAATTTCAATTGAAGGGCCCCAAGTGTAGTATACCTCATATGGTTAAGCTATGAGATAAACAAAATTTGATATGTTGTAATTTCAAGGCCCAACTCAAAGGACCTAAAATAGCTTCCATACCACACTTTTATCCACCTCTTTTATTAATTTTTCCCTCAGTAGCCCATTCACTATCATGCTGACACATAAATTTGGACTCACATTTCAAATTCCATGCTACATCCTTTCTACGAATATTAGAATCATATTTTCAATGGCCTCATTAAAACTTCAAATTCATATTCATTTTCTTCAAAACTGAGCTTATAATTTTGCTTTCCAATTACCCATTTTTTAATATTTCATCTTATGAAGATATCATCCACTTGCCTGTTTCATAAATAAGGTGGTCATCCTGTACCCTGTTATTGACCTTGTATTCAATGCACACTTGCTGCCCAGCATGTAACAGTGCGGCTCTCACATGTCCCTGCCCCCTCTTCCCATTTACGAAGTTCCTGTCACTCTTTACATCTGTTCAGAGTTACAGTTCAGTAGAAGTTTAAATAATAAATTCAGGCTCAAGACAACGCTTTTTCAGATTATGCTCCATAGATGGCTTCCTCTGTCATCCCGCCCGATTTCACTGAAGAACTACAAACACAGAGACATGCTCAGAGAAGCAAATCTCCGATTTGGTGTCCCATCACCTTGAACAAAACCTATATCAAAGGTCCATCCTTGCATTAGTTATCTGTCTTAGAGACACCTATAGTATCTGTATTTATTTTTTTGAAATGCGTTTGGAAATTTCTATTCACTGTATTAACCAGTCTGTGATTCTAATAGCATTTCAGGCATGACTGGAATAATGTAAGTGAACAAAAGGCAATATAGTAATATCAGATTTCCAGGCATGACTCTTGAGTTCTGTGTATAGGTGGTAATAAGAAACAATGAGAAGTTCAATACGCTCTGCACTGTTTGATATTTATCTATCAGGTATTGCAATGTGCTTCTGTTTCCCAAAAGATTGTATATAATAATTAGACTTGTGGTGAAGCACATCTTCCTAAATGACTACTCTGATTCTGTTGTAGGTCAAAATGCAGAGCTAGAGACTCTGTTCTGATAAAAAAAAAAAATATATATATAATATTCAATATGATATTAACTGCTTAAAGTGGTATACCTCTCTTGAGATCCCCACTTTTAATAACCTCCAGAATCATAGATAAAACTGAGGGAGTAATCATTACTGAAATGGATTTTCTGGCAGAATTAGACATCACCTCCAAGAATCAATAATCATTTGAAGCTAACAGGGTGATTAAATGACCTCCTTTTTATTGTACCTCATGTTGAGTTGCTTTTTAATCTTGATTTAGAGTCACTCTGCTAGAAACAAAGATAAACCGAGGACTGAGAACATTACAGCAGCAACATGAGGCCTATTCATTATGAAGGTTAAAGGCTCCTTTCCCTCAGTCAAGGCTTTTCTAGCTAATCAATGCATTCTAAAGGAAAATCTGAACACTCTAGGAGCAGACTGTGTAAATACCACCACCTAAGGCTACTTCTTCTTTTTAAAGATCTGCACCATTAGCTTTGTTATGGCAGGTGCTGTATTTTTTTAATATAATAATTTTCCATGCCAATGATGCTGAGGATATCTTTGTATTGGCTGATAATATTGTCATTAATTCTTTTCATCCATGCAGTTTATCCCTCCCATCTCTTTAAAGACAAAAAAGAAAGGACGGAAGGAAGGAAGAAAGACCTGTTTCAAGTAGGCAGCAAATTAATTCTAGCATCCAACTATTTTCTACCGTTTGTAGGAGGTGCAGTCAGTTACCAATTAGAGTTCTACATAGTTTACATTTCTAATTACTACATAAATGCCTGTACGGGCCAAAGGATTATTTTATACACACTCTGATAATGGAAACAGGGCAATTTGAAAATGAAATTTAATATGTTCATATGTTAAAAAAGTAAAATTTGAGAAATATAAACTTTGGAATTCAATAAAATTCAAAAGCAAAAATTGTTTTCTGTTTATTCCAAGGAAAGTTATATAGATAGCAAGATAGATAGATAGATAAATATAGTGGGTTCCCATGTGTACCCACAATGTGTGCACAGGGAAAAAAGAGATAAAGAAAACAAAAATAACTTTACTATGTCTTAGGCAGATATAATAAATATATTATTAAAATAATAAGATAAGTTATTAGGTAAACATTTATATATTTAAATATTATGTATATTATTAACCTAGTACCCTTATTTTTTCTGATTCTGAAAATAATGAGTTATTATTTACAAGTATTTCTTTCTTAAGCCTTGGTTTATTGCTAGATTGAACATTTTTAACTTCTTTAAAATATATATTGTATGTTTGAATGTATAAGTTAATATAACAGCAAGTTAGATACTACAATTATTAATTTCTCTGTAAAAATGTTTCAAAATATAACATAATTAATGAATAAATTAATTATTTTAAAAAGCCTTACTGCCAAAGAGTTTTGAAAGGGTTATTTACTAATAAAGAGATAATTTTCTAAATGTAGAAACTAGATATCATGAGCTTTAAAATTTTCACTACTGCTATGAGAGTCACAGAAATTGATTGTTTAAAATATTGTTTTAGAATTATAACTGCCTAATGTTTCTCTTCAAGTTCAAAATGTGATTGACTTTATTTAAGCTGGACAATTAACAATTAGAAAGGAAATATTCCACTAATAAGTTTTAGAATTTTGTTTATTTATTCCCACATCTATAACACTGTACAGTTTTGACAATAATAACCCAAAGATGCTCCGTACTTCTTAGGACACTTTATCAAGAGACACATCTGGAAATATACTCTAAGATGCCTGAAATAGTAATTCAAAAGAATTAATATTCACCCCAAAGTTCACAGCAGCTCTATTTATAATAGCCAAGTGCTGGATACAGCAGAAAGAAAGATGGAACTCCTCTACCTTTTGAGACAGCATGGATGGAACTGGGGAATATTATGCTAAGTGAAATAAGCCAGTCAGTGAAAGATAACTACCATATGATCTCACTTATAAAAGGAATCTAATGAACAAAATAAACTAATGAGAAAAATAGAACCAGAGACATGGAAACGTGGAACAGACAGACAGTGGCCAGAGGGAGGGGAAAGGAGGATTATGGTAGAAAGAAGGAGAAGGGACTAGTCAAAGAGCATGTATGAATGACCTATGGACATGGACAATGGTGTGGGGATAGATTGGGGAAGGGTGGGGGAGGAAAATGGGTCAGAGGAGGGCAAAGGGAGAAAAATTGGTGCAACCATAATAGAATAACAATTAAAAAATGGAGACATATGATGCCTGACTCTATCACTTTTTGTGATGCTAATTTTGATCATTGTGTCCCGATGTTGTTAGTTGGCTCTAGCCATATAAAATTCATTGTCAGCTTTGATCTAAGTGATTTAGCTGTCATAGATTATGATTATCATCATCCATTAATTTTTTTAGGGGTGAAAAAATGGTCATATTCTAATTCTATCATACCTTTCTCATTCATTATCTGGATTTTTACATTATTCTAGGTATCATGAAGTATAAT